GTATTACAAGTGAGCCTTTTGTCTACGGTAGTTTACAAGTCTTTACTGGGTATGCTGCACAAGCTCTCGGAGTATCATTTGGTACCCACCAAGCCGAAGTGCGCCTACCATGTGGAACGATAATGTCATAAGCACCTCACAACGTAGGCAAAAGTGATGGATTCTCTCTATGAGGTGATCGGGTATCCGCGCAGGACATATTCTGATTCGATTTCACTTCTCAAATCAAAACCTGAGCCAGTAAAGTTTGACTGTCGCAGTTGTTACCAGGTGACAAGGGACGTTTTGAGCGCTGTGAGCGAAATCTACGCTTCCACTAAGTTCCTTTGGGGAAATGACAACTACTGCGCTTCCAGCTGCCACTCCTTTGTTCGTCCCTCTGGATGGTTCTGTACTTACGGCACAATAACCCAGCATTCAATGTATTTGCTTGAGAATCACCCATATCCCCCATGTTCCATCGGAGTGTTCATCCTTGCTGTGAGCAAATACGGTTGAGGAGGGCTGTGCCAATGAGGAGTCCACACTAGAAGATCTCCCTCGCCCGCGTGGTCATCGCGGAATTTGCCTTTAGAGATCTCAGGGGGATGAGCGAAAGCAGATTCCGCGACCTTCACTGAACACAGTGACGAACGTAAGCGCGCCCCTCAGGAGCCTGCTGTTCTGGCTAGCTCAAGATCTCGCCGCCTATTTCAGCGCAGCCTTTGGCGATCAAATGAGAATGTGTCGTCTTCGTCGCGCGGATGCTGGGGCATCTTAGGCGGGGAGCTGGATTTGGCGCCACGCCAGTAGTTGTGGATTTGGCAAACCTCCAAAATGAAAACCGTTTGGCTTCGCGACAAACGCAGGCCTCCTGACGCGCCACAGCATCCCTAGCGAAAAAGACTATTATGTGGCTACAACACTGACGAATTTTTAGCTATTCGACATCGTTGCCAGCGAGGAAACACTTCGTAATGTGATCAGTTCGGTGACGAGGAACTGGCAGTCGATCATTCTCACCGGTTTGCTGGCGCTCATTCTTGTCTACATTTTTTCGATTATCGGCTACACATTCTTCCAAAGAGGTGCGATTTTACTGGAAATGGCTAAGTTTACAGCTTCGTTAGTGATCTTGTTATTCTTCAGATTTCTCCCTTGAAGTAGATCCACTCGAAGATGAACCAACGGCCACGGTCTTCACCAGAGATCCTAGTCCAGAGACCTGTTCAGCTGACGGTGGTTGCCCATTACCGGTACCTGTAGTGGAACAAAAGCCGGATAACAAAGACGACGGATTGTAGTATTTCTGGGAAATAAAGCGTATGCGGTTATTGAATTTATAGATGACAATGAAGATTCCGTCGTGGCACGTACACTGGCGAATGTGCATTCATTAGGACCGCTGGGAATTGGGACTGCGGTAATGGTGGTGGTAATTGGTGATTGTGTTAAGAAATCGGTGCCGATGTGGAGTGGATTTGTAGTGTCGCGAAAAATAATGATGGCAAATTTTGAGTGTTCTGAAATATATTTTTGTAGCGGTTCCCTGCCAGCGTTGCGAGAAAATGTATTGCTTCAGGCTGTTTGAAAGTTGCACAACTGAGGGGATCACCGCGTAATAATAGGCAGAAGAGAGTCCTCAGTATTGCTGTCCCGGAAGGGGCATGAATGTTCCGGTCATAGTCCGGCGTGTCAGCAGCGCCTTGGTGAGGCGCTGTTTACGGTCATGACTTTGGGGACAGGGTTGCATTGCGTGTTTGTGAGTGTTGGCGGTTCTGGGAACGACGTGCTAAGCAGGCCCAGTAGCCTTTTTTTACGGCTGAGGCGTCGTCTTTGGCCTTAAATTGGTAACGCTCCACAAATAGGCAGACGACGCAGCTCTCGTGAATAAATCTCTAAATACACCCTCTACGTCGCCGTGGTATACTGTGCTTTCACGCCGGCACGTCCTCTTTCAAGCTTTCATAACAAAGTGGCAACTCTTTATGGAAGCCCATCCTCACCAGAAATTTTTGACCTTGAAGGTGAGGGATACTTAAGGTGATTGGAGGTGCGCTTGTAAACACAACCTCCTTTGGCAGGAGTCTAGAATTTTAGAGTCACGAGAAGGTATCTCTGCTTCTACTATGTACCTCTACAATATAGCGAGATAGGGTCATGTCGTATTGGGATTTTCAGCAAGTGGGGTCTTATCTGGTTGATGGTGGAACGGAGGGGTCGGGATGGTCTGCGCAATTTCGCGTTGTTGCTTTTCATGATTGTTGCGGCTGTTTTTGCGTAGGATATGCCCGCCCCCCCACCCACCCTACAACGGCAAACGTGCTATGAATAAAATTCATCTTCAGGCTCCTTTTCTTGTCCCCATAGAGAAATGACAAAGCTTTTGGAACTACTACTGGCAGACGAACCAGTAAAGAAGTAAGAACTAGGAGCACCTTGGACGCAATTCGGCTTGGTGGGGGCATCAAATAGTGATTAGGGAAGCTTGTACAGGCCACCATTTGGCGATTTGTGAACTCCTTCGAGTAAATGGTTTCCTTGCACCATTCCGCAGTTTCACGAGTTTACAGGTCTTAACAGGTTGAGACGTTTTAGGTGAACGATCTATCAAAAAATGCCAGCAAAACTGTGAAATGCTCCCCCCCCTCCCAGGCCAAGAAGCGCCACTTCCGAAATGGGAAAATACTAATACGAACTAATCACCACTACTATTGACTATTTGTTTTTATGTTGAGTCTCAAAGTTTACCGATAAAGATAAAGGGCTGAGTTTCGAAAAATGAAAACTTGGAAAGGTAGTAGTTATTACTTGTTTCTCCAGGAGAAGCTGTTCTACTACCGTATCGTCTACGATTTGTCGTTCTACGTGGTGCTTATTGTGATCACATTGAATCTCATTTTTGGTGTGATCATCGACACTTTTGGTGATTTGAGGACGGAAAAGAACGATAAAGAGGATGTGCTGAAGAATACATGTTTCATCTGCGGATTAGAGCGTGGAAAGTGAGTCAGTAGGTCCATTTGAAACCTTCTCCTTCAAATGAATGTTTTTTTCTGCCAGAGGTGGGCAGAGCGAGCTAGTTACAGATGGAGCTTATCGGGGAGAGGACCAGATTTGGC